TCAGCAGCAACATGATATGGTTTTTCACAGTGATTATTCTAGTTAGAGATTCATGAGTCTAACAGCCTCAGGGTAGAAGCTGTTCCTCAGTCTAGTGGTTCTACACTTAATGCTCCTTAACCTCCTTCCTGAGGGGAGTGGGGCAAAAAGTGTGTGTGCTGGGTGGGTGGGGTCCTTCATGATGCAGGTGGCCCTCTTCCTGCATCTGGAGGTGTAGATGTCTGTGATGGTGGGGAGGCTGATTCCGACAGATTTCTGTGCAGCCTTCACCACTCTCTGCAAAGCTTTTCTTTCTGCAGCTGTGCAGCCTCAATGCCACACATTGATGCTCGAGCACAGGATGCTCTCCACTGCACACCTGTAGAAGGAGGTGAGGACTGAGCTTCCCAGACCAGCTCGCCTCAGCCGTCTGAGGAAGTAGAGTCTCTGATGAGCTTTCTTGATCAGGCTGGTGGTGTTGTTGCTCCAGCTGAGGTTGTCATTCATGTGTACACCCAAGTACTTGTAGCTGGAGACCACTTCCACCGCAGATCCTCTTATGTTCAGGGGGGTGTAGGTGTTTTTGTTCCTTCTGAAGTCCACAATCATCTCCTTTGTCTTCTTCACATTGATGTGAAGGTTATTCTCTCTGCACCAGCTCTCCAGGTGTTCCACCTCTTGCCTGTAGCTGGACTCATCATTGTCTGTGATGCATCCCACCACCGCTGTATCATCTGCAAACTTTACAATGTGACAGCCTGGATGGGTAGCTGCACAATCATATGTGAGCAGAGTAAACAGGAGGGGGCTCAACACACATCCCTGAGGAGAGCCAGTGCTGAGGGTTATGGTGGAGGAGGAGAGGTTGTGGATCCTCACTAACTGTGGTCTGTTTGTTAAAAAGTCTAGTACCCAGTTGCAGATGGAGGGGCTTAGTCCTAGTGTGGATAGTTTGTCCATCAGGGTTTGGGGGATCATGGTGTTGAAGGCGGATGTGAAGTCCACAAAGAGCATACGGACGTAAGAGTTTTTCTGCTCCAGGTGGTTGAGTGCAGTGTGGACCACAGAGGAGATTGCATCCTCTGTTGATCGGTTCTCACGGTATGCGTACTGATGAGGGTCCTCGTTGATGTTGATGGTTGTTTTGATGTGAGTCATGACCAGTTTTTCGAAGCATTTAGCGACTATCGGGGTGAGGGCCACTGGCCGATAGTCATTCAGACCAGTCACTGTAGAGCTTTTTGGGACTGGGATGATGGTGGCAGTCTTCAGGCAGGTGGGAACTGTCTCCAGGGTAAGTGAGGTGTTAAAGATGTCTGCCAGCACCTCACAGAGCTGATCAGCACATTCCTTCAACACTTTTCCGGGGATGTTGTCTGGGCCAGTTGCTTTGTGCGGATTAATCCTCCTGAAGGTACTCCTTACTTCTGCTGAGGTCACGCTGAGATGCTCTTCATCCGGTGGTGAGGTGAGTCTGGTGCTGGGTGGTCTGTTCGGGTCTTCAAAGCGTGCATAGAACTTGTTGAGGGCATCAGGCAGAGATGGGTCTTTGGGACATTGTTCACTCCTTCCTTTATAATCTGTTATGCACTTAATGCCCCTCCACATGCTCCGAGGGTCTTGTGAGATGAATTGACCCTCGATCCTCTTTGCATATGTGGCCTTGGCCCTCTTAATACCAGCAACCAGCTCTTTTCTTGTCCTACTCAGCTCCTCTGAGTTTCCAGACCTGAAGGCAGTGTTCCTGGCTTCCAGCAGGGTACGCACCTCTGCATTCAGCCAAGGTTTTCTGTTTGGGTAGCTTTTAACATATCTGATAGTGGAGACTGTGTCAGTACATGTACTAATGTAACCCAGTACTGAGGATGAGGATGAGAAACTGAAGCTAAAGTATTGACGTAAGTACAACGTAACGTAACATGTCTAAATGTGCTCGCTGATAGTTTTTTTATGTCTTAAATCATGATCTTTTTTTGTAATACCACTTCTCTATCTAAAAGAATAAGGGGCCGCACTCTTAGGAGCAACAGCAACGTGCACTCCGCCCATCTTTCAGACGACTGTACAAACAATCTCACTGTACTTCGGTGCAATGATGATAAAGCTGATTCCGATAGCCTGTGAGGAGCAACTGGTCAGCGGACCAGTTGCTCCTCACAGTTCCAGGAACTCATCTTAAG